TCATACCTTTATTTTTGCATTCAATGTCATTTTTTAATATTATTCTGTCAATCCCTATCCACCACCACATTCATGCAGTCTCCACTTTTTTCCTACCTCATTATTTAAAATCATTTGTTTGCATAGGGCAACCACCATTTTCTTACTTTTTAGTAGAACTTACAATTATTTCTCAAAATACTTGTGTCCCTATATAATTATTTGCATGAATGTACCTACTCAGTGAACGGATATAATCCGAATCATTACTCATTGTTCTATATTCCATAAGCTCTGCGCATCACTCATGAATGTATCTTGCTATATTTTTCAAATTCTTCACAATATCTCTGCTTTTTACTTATTCTCCCTTCTTTACGCAAAGCATTTGAAACTTTTACATCTTATTTCTATTATTATTTTATGAAACTGGCTACTGACCATACTTTGCTGAAATTTGAAATACAACTTGGCTATTTTTACATCTGGCATGAGTTTTTTTAACGTTTTTCTCTCTGCTTTATTGACTATATGTTGTAAGAATTATAAATATTTATTGATTCGTATGATTACTTATTGTATGACGGGCATCTATGCACAAATTAGCTTATCTTTTCATATTTATCAATAATATATATCACAATAACCTTATTTTACTTTGGTTTTGTAAATATAAACTCATTTTTTGGCATTCACAGTGCATTTCGCTCTTATTACGACTTTCAGAAGTCTAGCCAATTTCTTGAGTTTGTTTACTCTGTATATATTTTAAAGTACCAATAAGTATACTATCAAATTGATACTTCATATTCTCATATTTGGTTTCTCTTATTCGATTATGGCTCCTATATGCGCATTCTTCTTTATTTATTCATGTCTATTTATTCTACATACATTACGTTTTTTATATTTTTATTGATTCCTTATATACAATCCCATCTATTGACAGCTTTATGACATAGCTTTCTTGGAAAACGTATTTTCAACTATACTAGATTCTTTTTTGTTCTATTCCACTTACTATATATAAATTTTGATAATTGGCAGAATTGTTTTAGATAAGCTAGGCTTTAATATGCTAGTCATTTAATACATCTGCTTATGGGGAATTTTATCTTCCAGTAGTTTTATTTTTACTTCTCTTTAGGAGTAGTTAAAGTTATACGTAACTTGGTTTGCTCAATAACTCTTTATTTCTAAAAAATTCACTGACTTTACTAGCTTCGAATTTGGTAACAAATAAGCCTGATTAGATCAAATCAACTTGTTCATATGCTTCCAAGCCCTCGCTATAAATGACCTCCGTCTCCATTTACAAAATAGTCATCTATTTTGATTTCCATACCACTAACCTTGCCGCCACTTGTACGCTTAGTTACCTTTTTTTCGAAGGTGCATAAGTACATGCTGTGTGCTCTTCACCTACTTGAATTTATTATAGGTCTTAAATTTTTCCTTTGTTATCTAATCACATATTTTCAGCCAAATCTGCTTTTTCTAAGTCAGACTATCTTTGTGGTTTCACTTAAATTGTAATCCTTAAAGTCTGTAAACTCATAATCAGAGCTAGTGTTTAGTTAGTTTAAGGTACTATTTTATTAGTACTAATTACTCTCTTTTATTCTGTATATATCTTATTGTTTTACA